TGTCCCCATGTTGAGAGAAATCAGATGTTATTGTAGTTCTAAAATAAATATGAATATGCATTAATTCATCTCACTCACAAAAAAAAAAAAAAAACACAGATTCAGTATTCCTCAAAATGAATAAAAATAATGCAACTCAGAATATGACAAGAACCTGCAATAATTAAATGTTAAACAACACAAATGTCCTTTATGTATTTAATCCAATTCTATTAACCAATGTCTTTGCTTCTGACCTTCGATGATCCAGTTCAACCATACTAATAAGCACAAATGACTCTAGACAACATTTGTGTGTCTTTTTTTATTGCTGAAGTGTGTTGAAAGGTCTTCTTCTGCATTCTACTGTACAGACGTAAATTTACTTTCCCTTCAGCCTGAGGCTTATTCATTTCACTTCTGGTGTGAAAAGGCTTTTATATTTGCCAAAAATAGAACTTTTTTATTTTAAAAACAAACAAGCAAGCCCTGTCCAGATAAAAGTAACAAGTAACGCAAAAGTAACGTAACGCATTACTTTCCATACAAAGTAACTAAGTAACGTAATTAGTTACTTTTTTATGGAGTAACGCAATATTGTAATACATTACTTTTAAAAGTAACTTTCCCCAACACTGATAATGGCACATCAATAAGGATCTGACTGAATCTCAATTCAGATGGCATTGTGTTGAGTAATCTACTGTAGTTGGTAAGAGCACTTCCTGTAAAGCATTCTGTAAAAGCATGTTTACTTCTACTTTAGATGATCATCACAGGCTGTTCCTCTTCACGGTTTCATAACTGAGCTGTTTGTTAACGAGTCACTTAAAAGGAATGTTTCAAACCAGCTTTTGGTACCATGCAGCTGAACTTCAGTTTAAGCACTAGAGATGTCAGATCTCACACATATGAAGCTACACAACAGCATGTGTTTGGTCTCACCTTGTCATACTGCAGCCACTGCGTGACAGCCTGGTCCAGACGACTGTCTCTTGTGCTTTCCAGGCCGTTCTCCATGTTGATCTAACTCGGAAGTAAACCGTAATTCAACCGATAAACAAATAAGCGATCAACTCTGTTAAACGAGCATATGTACGTTGACGGTCGCTCTGAATGAATTTAATGTGACCGGTGAATGCTCCTGTTCGAGTTAGTATAATGATGTAGTTGTAGTACGTCCGAAACGGAGTGGGCGGGGTTTTTCATGAAAGGGGCGGGGCACGTGATTAGCCCATGCCATTGCGTAGCAGCTCATTGGTGGAGCACTTTCGGAATAAGCTTTCAGTTCTTTGACCTGTGCAATTTTAACTTTCATAAAACTAATTTAGATTCTATATTTAACATTTTGTGTAAAAAATAGCAATAAATGTAGCATGTTATTTAAGATATTTCTGTGTTCCTGAAGGTAAATTGAAATATAAATAAAGCTGTAAAACAGGTATTAAATGAACATAAAAGCTCGTTCATGTACAAAATATCCCTACTTTCATTGGGATCCTAAACTGTACCTGTTTATATTATTTTATACAGCAGAGAGCGCCAAACTCCTGCTATTAATGGCACTGAGATCACTTCAGTGTGTGAAGAAACATTATAAAGATGTGCTGCAAATTGATTTTATCGTATATAATTAGTATTTGTAAGAGACTTCAATATAATTTCAGATTATAGACTTTAAATATCTGGTGAAGATTACTGACTCTACAATGATTGACAGAGTATAACGATCAGAACAGAATTTATTCGTCAGAGAAGTGTTTTTTACTCAAACAATGTAAAAAGATTTTATAAAAATTACATTTTAATTTCAATAAAAGCCAAGTTTAAGGACTATATTATTTTTCACATTCTATATAACTGTATTTTCTGATATTCCAATGAAAAACAAACGTTTAAAAATGAAGTTAATATGATGTTTCAGTGGAGACTGTAAAAAATGGTGGAATGCTGACATTGTGAGGAATGCAAAGAATGCTAAGATATATATGCACAGACTTGTGGTCAACATTGGATGATATTATTTGCATACTTTTCATTGACTGTTCTGAGAAAAGTGTTCTGAGTCCAAGTTTATCTCAAGTTCAGCTTTGCAAGGGATGTTTGTTCATCGGAAGGCTGATTGCCTCTAAGTTTTGCTATCTAGTTGCTCTTTTTTATGGAATATAATTTATATCTGATACAGTATACGCGAATGGAAAGAAAGGAAAGTGGCTTCATATACTAAACAAAGTTTTGTTGAAAGTCTAATATTGCAGAAAGGTTGCATGAAGGTTTTAGAAAGGTTGACAATTATGACAATAACTACAGTATAATGATATCCATATTAGTGTTCACACCAATTGAACAAATAATAACGTGTTCATGTAAAATGTGTGCTTAAGTTATGTTCTGTGTATGTAACTACAGTACGCGCCGAATTTTGTGTGGTTGTCAACATTTTTAATGTTAATCAGATAGAAAACAATCCCTCTGAAAGTGATTGCAATGATATCTCCTAATGTTATTACTTTATAGTTATAGTTATCGTTCTTTGTGTAAAAGCCTTCACACTATGGAAGCCCATTTCTGCCACATAAAAAAATATTATGATTTGGTAACTCATAATAACATAACATAAAAGTCCTATTTATGAGTCAAAATAATGAGATAACTGTTATAATTATGAGATTAAAATGTTAAAAATGACAAGATGCTAAATCATAGAAGATATCAAATATTAGCTCAATAGAGTTCCTACCATAGATAAACAAATGTTTGTTTGTATGAAACGAGAACTAGAAACCAAAATTATTCTCACTGAAAGCTCTCTTTTGTTTTCTGCATGCATAACTGCTTGACAATTTATTATTTATTTTTCATGTCAATTTCAGTGTGCCGTTTTGTGAAAAGGCCTTCTAAATTCTGCAGATGGTGCATTTGCTGAGTGGAAATATTTGTTAAATATTTGCAATAGGTTTTCCAACTGCATTTTCGGGGATGAGTTGTGTTTATTCTGTGTGGGTGACACTGCTCCATCGCTGTCACCCACACTAAAGCTGTGAATATCTGTCACATCTCTGCTGGCCTGCAGGCCGTGAAAACAGCCCATCCCTCAGTTATGCAACCAGCTACTGCAGGCCAGGCACTGTACTGGTGTCAGCAACACTTACAGCATGGCATGGCTCAGTGAATAAATCCTTGCTTATGAATTCCTTATTATGTTACCCAAACCTTTCTAACATAAAAATTTGGTGTGGTTTGCACATCCTAAAATGACTGAAGAAAGCATTTAAAGGAAGGAATGATGAATGGAAAGTATATTACCAGACTTCAATAATCAAGTCTGTGATCTATGGAAGGCAGGTTGAGCCAAAACTCTTTAAACAGAACACATTAATTTTTAATGTGTGAACACGCACTGTATGGCCATGTTAACCTGCAATTTTGAACGTGTTTCTTTTGTATGTGTAGACATGCACATTTTGGCCATGTTAAGGCATTATTTTTCACCCATTTCTTTATTACACGTAAAGATGCACAGTTTTAACATGTTAAGACAACGAATTTGAACGTGTCCTCAATGCGCACACATTCTGGCTGTGTTCGAATGTGTAATAGTTTTTCAAGCAGATTTACTTCTAAATTTATCCACATTAATCCTTTCTTTAGTTTATTGTGGCATTGCTTTACTGAAATCTACTGTGCTAGAGTACATTGTTAAAAATGCTAAAAAACTAAAAAGGACATGGACATGAAATCATGAGACTCACATCGCACACAACACACTGATTAATTTTCCTCATGAACTAATATAACATCTGATGTTTGCATACTAGTGTACCATTACAACATCCTTCATAAACATGACATCTGACGTGTTGTATATACCAACATGCCATTGCGTCACATATGGTCTCAAATATAGCAACTTCATTGGCCGCTCTGCATGTCGCAGACAAACAGTGCACGTTGACAGTCAAATTTCACACATTCGGTCTAAAATACTTTTGGCCTTACCCACCTTCCACAGTGATCAAATGTATATTGTATCGGTTTACTTTCTAGAATGGTCAGATGTCCCCATATGAGCTCAAACAGGCTGGAGCTGTACTTTAGTACACCATATTAAAGGAGCACAGACTATCCTCAGAAATATTTTCTGGTTCTAATGCATTTTAACTTTACCATATTACAGCCAATCCTTTTTGTCTGTGAAACTGTGCAAGTGCCACAAAGAAGTGGAAAGTTTCGGACTTGTTCCTCCCCCAACTGCAAGCAGCAGACCCCACCAATCAGTAAGACAAGAACTGAATTAGTAACCAGTGCAGATAAATCAGTATTTAGTGGTAGGGTAGTTTTAATATTAAAGACCACATATTAAAGCCCAAGTCACAAAATTTTTTTAAATAAAAACACCTCACAGTGCAATTAATTTGAAAGGTTTATTTCACCAAAGATGAGGGCAAATAAAACTCATTTTCATTTAGATGGATTGACAACAGAACTTCAAGAGTTAGACAGCCTCAGTGCAGAGTTGACCATATCTTCACTGACACGGATCATGATCATGAAGTCAGTCATCCTTCAGAACGGTCTTCTACAGAAGAGAAGCCCTCTTCTGCTTAGTGAAGTGACTTGCCATGATACAGAGTTCTCCACAACTTGCCCCCGGTGAAGATAGTTTATGCCTCGCATTGTTTCTCCTGTTCAATTGCTGGAAATAGGGAAAAACAAGAAACCATTTATAAAATAATAAAAAAAAAAATATATATATATATTATAATAATAATAATAATAATAATAATAATAATAATAATAATAATAATATTTAAAAAAAATTAAAAAAAAGAGGGGGAAAGAAAAACCAAAAGGGAAACTAATCTACAAAAAAATAAATTATATTTAAAAAAAAAAAAAAAGGCTCATGTTGCTAATAAGAATAAAAACATCATTCCGGGTTTAGAAGGCAAGTGCTCCATAAAACTCAAACTTACTATCTTTAGTGGGAAGGGTGTTCTTCTCTTGTGTCTCAGTCTTCTTCAGCTTGGTCTTGTCAAACTGAGAGATCTCACTGATATCTGGTTTGTCAGCCATTGCTTCACTTCAGTTTTCTAAGGGAAAATAAATGGGTTAAACAAAGAGATGAACTACAAAAACATAAGCACCAAAGCACTACACAAAACCTCTCACTTTACTGCTGAAGAACAACACGCAGAAGACAGAGTAAAATTGCTGATTTGACACTTATATATTTAAACAACACAATCTAGACGCTAGCTAACTGAGGAACAATTTAATTACAATTGCAGGTGCAAGTTGTTGACGATTTTGTTCCTTCATTCTCATTGGTTAATTGATCAATTGCTTGACAGTTTTTTTTTCAGTAATGACACCCTTTCTCCAAAACATATGGATCAATGTCTTGAATAAAATGCTAATATCTGGAATTTAGACTACTGTGAGTGTATTTTATTTATTTATTGTTAGACTTGAAAAAATAAAAGAAAAACATTTTAAAAAATGAAGAAAAAAACCCCCATCAAAATGTACACTTTTATTTATTAATCTACAATGATCTTTAGCTGTATGTTGTCATGTGATCTACACCAAGCTCTGTGTAGTTCTGTGCTGCTTGAATTAAAGTTCTTCAACTCACAAAACAAATCTCAGATAATCGATGGCATTGTGAGACACAGCAGGTTTCAGATCAAGCCAATCAGAGTGCGAGATAACATGACACGAGGTGAGGTTTCAATTTTTATTAAATGTACATCACTTAGTCATCAGATTGTGCGGGATATTTTATCATATGTTCATTCAGAGACCGTTCATAGCGGGTAAACAATAACAATATGATCAAATGTGGCTGTTTGAACTTTGAACGGGATGTGATGCTTTTGGATGATGTAGCTCTGTTGTTGTGAAGATGCTTCATCTTTATAGTCCGAAATAATCTAGTGATTCAGTTCAGATTATTTTATATCATGATTTTCTGTTTTGCATGGCTGAGATGAACGGGTGCGGCTGATTTGATTTGCCTTTGTCATAAACATCACAGGTCATGCCTTTACAAGAATTACTATGGTAACCGTAGTATATACCGGCTGCATCAAAAGAAAAACAATGAACTGAAAATGACAACAAATACTCTCAAAGAGATTTGAATGAAGCTCCATATTTATTTATGGTTGCAGTAACGATAACTGTAGGCTACTATGTCTATCTATATATCTCTAGGCTACTGTAAGGTCATCATGGTAGCTCTCTATAGAGATATTCCTCTCCTATAATGTGGAATTCATTGTTATTCTGGATTTGCCAGGTTTAATTTAGACTAAAATATTTTGGAGTTAGAAGTGAATGATCTGGACAGAAAAAAAAACTTTGCATAAAAATCAACTAGGGATACCTGGTTTCTGTATTAATTCAACATACTAGTAGTGGTTGTCAACCAAAAGGCTGGAGCCCACCAGGGGTCTTCAGCAAGCTTCCAAAAGGGATGCAACATAAGAAAAATGATGAAGAATTTTATTTTTTTTCCCCCTCCATAAGCCAAATAAATTCTCAAATGTACATAAAGTTGTTTAAAACAGTTTTTAATTCTAATATTCGGATTCTGATTTCTTATTATCACAGTTGAAAACAGTTTTGCTACTTAATATTTTTTGGAAACAATGATACATTGTTTTTCAGGATTCTTGCTCAAAAGAACAGCATTTATTTTGTCTTTTGTGTCACTTTTGATCAATTTATTGCATGTATATCCGATATAAGATATAAAAATAAACTTCAGCATATATCTTGAGGGCATATGGATCACATTTTGTTCTCTTATATGCTTAATTATGGTTCAGTTGTCCTGAAGTCAGTGGGTTGTTTGAATGGGTTTTTGGTTAAATTCCTGAAAAAGGTCGGTGACTCACCCTTATTTAGAAACATAAAATACAAAAGTGATTCTCCTTGTGATTTTTTTTTTTAAAGCTTATACATGTCTTGAAAAAGCAGTTGCAAACAAGTGGCTTAATGGGACTGCAGTGGCTGTCGGGGACATTAAAAATCTTCACGCTGAACAGGAAAACTCATACTCACAGTCGCTTTTTTAGCCTTGTTGTGTTTATAATCACACTCTTGCAAACTATTCTTACTAAAACCTTCAGGGAAAGGTTGTTTTTTTTTAAATAAAAACCGAAAGAGTTGTCAGAAGCTTAATGATGGTGACTTTGAAGTCATGCCACCGTGATTCTGTTTATAGTTTTTAGCTTTATAGCGTTTAGCTTTTTTACTTCTGGTGATTGTTACTTCTGGCTTCAAAACTCCTAAAAGTTGCATTCACTTGTGAAGATTATGATTCTTATGCATTTTGTTCATCATGATAAACTTTTGTCAGTCACAGAACTTTTCTGCAATAATCCAAAAGCCAATGGAAAAATGCTTTTGGGTTTTTGTCGAGGGAACCAGAGTGATGTGAACTTCCAGGATGGCCTACAAAAATAGTATACACTGCAAAAAATGATTTTCTTGTATGTTTTCCCTTTGAATTAAGATTATTTTTCTTACCTCATTGGCAGATCTTTTTTTTTTTCCTTTTTTTTTAACCAAAAACTAACAAAATGTTGATACATTTTTATTATGTTAGACTTAATATGTGACCCTGGAGCACAAAACCAGTCTTAAGTCGCTGGGGTATATTTGTAGCAATAGACAAAAATACATTGTATGGGTCAAAATTATAGATTTTTATTTTTTGCCAAAAATCATTAGGATATTAAGTAAAGATCATGTTCCATGAAGATATTTTGTAAATTTCCTACTGTAAATATATTAAAACTTAATTTTTGATTAGTAATATGCATTGCTAAGAACTTCATTTGGACAATTTTAAAGGCGATTTTCTCAGTATTTAGATTTTTTTGCACCCTCAGATTCCAGATTTTCAAATAGTTGTATCTCGACCAAATGTTGTCCTATCCTAACAAACCATACATCAATGGAAAGCTTATTTATTCAGCTTTCAGATGATGTTTCAGCTTTCTTATGACTGGTTTTGTGGTCCAGGGTCACATATGTTAAGTCATTTTGCTTCATCAGTGTACATCATCAATGCAGTGCTTTATACAGACATAAAAACAATTTGGTAATGCAATTAAAATGTTAAATAAAATATTATTATATGCAATTTATATTTTTTTCATATGCATGATTATTTTAAAGTTAATAGCAATACAACATACTGTTTAAATTGTTACATTTATCTAGAAAAAATGGCTGTTTTATTAATTGTTGATGATTATTTTTGTATCTTTTTCATCAGAAGTGCATTATAGTTCATACACCAGATGATGTCATACCTGGTCCTCATTTTCGACCTTTGACTGGGTATCAACGAGGACCATGGCCTCCGCCGACCAAGACCAGGAGTCACTGCAGAACCAGAACCACTACTTGTGTGGTTCTGTAGCAGCGTTCGCCAACATTGTCATCACATTTCCCATACACAAGGCACTGTTCCGGCAGCAGCTGTTCGGAGTGCAAGCGTGGGAAGCTGTGCGGCAGCTCCAGAGGGATGGTTTGCACACACTGTACCGTGGCATCCTGCTGCCGTTACTGCAGAAAAGCAGCACTATTGCAATTATGTTTGGCCTCTATGAGGACTTCTCCAGATTGATGCAACTACACGCTCCTCAAGCCCCCATCCTGTTAACGGACAGTATCGCAGCAGTTTTAGCGGGAACAGCTGAAGCAGTCTTAACGCTGTTCGAGAGGGTCCAAACTCTACTGCAGGACCCACGTCATCATGGAAACTTTCAGAACACTGCGCGTGTTTTCCGTGTTTTGCTTCAACAACATGGCATCCGAGAGCTTTACGAGTGACGAGTGACGTGACATGTGGCCAAGTATGGTGACCCATACTTGGAATTAGTGCTCTGCATTTAACCCATCCAAAGTGCACACACACAGCAGTGAACACACACACCGTGAACACACACCCGGAGCAGTGGGCAGCCATTTTTTTTTTGCTGCGGCGCCCGGGGAGCAGTTGGGGGTTCGGTGCCTTGCTCAAGGGCACCTCAGTCGTGGTATTGAAGGTGGGAGAGAGCGCTGTACATTCACTCCCCCCACCTACAATCCCTGCCGGTACGAGACTCGAACCCGTAACCTTTGGGTTACGAGTCCGACTCTCTAACCATTAGGCCACAACTTCCCCCGTGGCCTTGTTCCGATCCTACTCAGAAATGGCCCTAGCAATGCTTTTTTCTTCGGTTTGCGTGGACCAATTAAGGAACTGCTCCCCGAAGCCGAGACAAAGGCAGGGCATTTGGTTAGTGACTTTGTATGCGGAGGGTTTCTGGGAGCGGGTCTCGGGGTGGTGTTTTACCCTTTAAATGTAGTCAAGTCTCACGCACAGGTACAGATTGGAGGGGAGTTTCAGTCCTGCAGGGTGTTCCTGGCAAACGTTTTGAGAGAGAGGGACGGGAAGGTGAGCTGTCTGTTTCGAGGTGTGCATTTGAACTTCCAGAGATCAATTTTCTCATGGGGAATCATAAATGCTACATATGAGCTTTTACTGAAAATGCTCTGATTGAGATGAGTAGGACGAAAGGGGAAATTATGAAGTGAAAGCATACACAACTCTGAGCAAAAAGAGTGGAGAATGAGTTTTCCTTGCTCTGTTTCTGCTGCTAAAAATACAGCATTAAAAACAGCACATGCTTACTTGAAGTGCAGTTATTAAAGGGATAGTTCACTCAAAAAATTAAAATTCTGTTTTCATTTTTTCATCAAGGCTAACTGAAAACACAGGGAAAGGGAAATGTTTGATTTGATCATTTTAACAATATATCATTTTCATTTAAAAAAAAATGAATGTGATGCATAACCTTTCAAAAGTTAGCAAGATTTGTTTTATGTTTTTAAAGACATCTCTCGTGCTCACCAAGGTTGCATGTATTTGGTCAAAAATATAGTAAAAACAGAAATATTATTGCAATTTCAAATACTTGTTTTCCAGTTGAATATATTTTAGAATGTAATTTATTCCTGTGATCAAAGCTAAATTTTCAGCAGCCAATTACTCCAGTCTTCAGTGTCACGTGATCCTTCAGAATCATTCTAATATGTTAGTTTGCTGTTCAATTTTAATATAGGATTATTTGTTGAATATAAAGTTAAAAAGAATAGCATTTATTTGAAATAGAAAAAAATTCCAACATTATACATGCCTTTACTGTCACGTTTGATCAATTTAATGTATCCTTATTGAATAAAAGTATTAATTTCTTTAAAAAAATTGGACTGACCCCAAGCTTATGAATGGTAGTGTATGTACATGTTTTCATGATTAAACCACTTTTTCATCATTTCTAATCAGGCACTTAACAGAGTACCCATGAAAAGGTTCACTGTAAAAAACATTCTGTAAAAAAAACGGCAGCTGTGGTTGCCGGAATTTTACCATAACAAATACGGTAGTAACGTTTTAGGTTTTACGGTTTTAACTTAAATTTACAGTTAAATACCGTAATTTCATTAACTGATATAATGTTAATATACCAACCTATTGAAGTACTGAAATCTGTTTTGTACCTTTCTAATGCCAGTCTTTTACCGTTAAATTCACTGTCATTTTTTACAGTGTTGTCTTAGCCAATAGAATGGTTCTGTTGAGGAAATGGTATGATTCTAGGGGGAATAGGATCTTGCACAACACCAAATCTGGTTCAGATTGCTTCACAAACTATTCAACTTGTTTTTGTGAACTGGATCAACGGATTCATTGACAGATCAGACTTAAAAGAACAATGAATTCATGAATCAGATGTTTCATGAGTGCTTATAAAAAGTGGATATTTAGTGAATAGTGAACAGTAAAAGAAAGTAAGTCATACAGAATTTAAATTTTTAGCTGAACTGTCCCTTTAATTCATCATCTGACTGAATGAATCACATGCATCATCCAGTTTTATGAATTTGATTAAAGATTGAATTGGCACACACATGAGAAGAAGCGAGTGTTGAGAGAGACATCTTTGACCTCAACTCACTCAGGGTATCCTCTGATACATTACAGTATTCTCTTTTCTAAACTGACTGTACTGTGGTCTCTTAACCACTAAGTATTCAGATCACTAAGTAGTCATTACAAGGGTGGGAATGTTTGGCAGTTTTTTGCCGCCAACTTTAAATATAGTTTTGCTGCGTTAGCTTTGGTGTCGCCAAAAGCTGTAGACTCCAGTAACCATATGACGACTTCAGTTCCAGTTCAAGCATTGATTAGTCATCTGGAAACCAATAAACACAAAGAGTCAATTTGGTGTTTGTGGTCCCTGTTGCTTTCATGTGGTAACAGAATCATCGCATCTGAGCCAGAACTCTTCATGCTTTTAGTTCCCACTGAAGCTATAACAGATAATTTCAATGACATAAGCAATGATTGGGTCATATTTGGATTGTGTTTCTCATGCAATAAAAGCTTCTTTGAATCACTCCCAAATATATTGGGATTTTAAGAAGGTGAGACCACAGACCTCAGCTGACGATGGCAAAGGGCCAAGGTGCACTTTGGATGATTTGTGCTCTATTTATTTCTATTTACACTTCAATTTTAATGTATGGAATCTGTAAGATTTCACCAAGACTGCATTTATTTGATCAAAAATACAGTATAAATTGTCATTCTCCAGTCTTCAGTGTCACATGATCCTTCAGAAATCATTCTAATATGCTGATTTGGTACTCAAATAACATCAATGTTGAAAACAGTTGTGCCACATAATATTTTTGTTAAACCCCTAATAAATAGAAAATTCAAAAGAACAGCATTTATTTGCTATAGAAATCTTTCATAATGTTATAAATGTCTTTACTGTCACTTTTGATCAAATGAATGCATGGTTACTGAATAAAATTATCAATTTCTTTCAAAAAAGAAAATCTTACAGACCCCAAACTTTTGAACAGTAGTGTATATGCATGTGGGAGAATAAATGTATAAGCTTTTACTGTATAATAAACATCAAGTTGAATTTAAACTTATAAACAGAGGATCTAAATATCATAGTCTGACCTCACAAACTGAACATCAACATGAATGAACATTTCACATTGTCTTATATTCTATGTCATTTAAGTCTAAATTTGAATAAGCACTACTTGAGCACACACTTGCACTACACAACTTTTGCCCCGATTTTCCCCCGATTTACAGTTTGGATAAGTTGCTGAAAGTCAGAGCCTGTCTGCAGATTTGAGTTGACAGATTTAATAAAAAATCACATAGTGAATGATGGTCACAGACTCAGCTTTCCATCTAGTCGGAGGATATCAAACCTCTTTGATATTTTGAGCTGATTTTAGAATACATATTGTTTTCATTTGTCACGCATCTCCTAGCAACAAGGTGCACGTTTCTGAATGAGTTTGTTGTGATTGGAATGACTTTAAACTTTAAAGTCTGTAGTGTGTGATCCTCAGTCGTTTAGTGTATGATTCCCAGTTTTCCTCTGTGACTATTTACAAAGTCAGTAAGTGTATGATGCCCAGTGTTTTCAAATCTGTTCAGATATTAAAAGTTGCGTAGTGTATTCCAGACTATTAAACTTAAGTTAATAAGATATATACATACATATTTTAACCTACGAAACGCACTGTATAAAACAACTGCATGATGAATAGATGAAATCTTTATAAAAATGTATATTTTCCTCTTTTATACCACCTATGTAGAAAATTAAATGCAGTAAAAAATGTTGCAACTATCCCTTTAAGTTCATTTTTAGATATTCATGTTCTAACTAGTTTAAATGTTGTTCATGTTAGACTGTTCACAATTGTTGATACCATTATTTTACCATTTACAGTTGTACATTTTTGTTGCATTTTAAAGCTTTTAACCTTATATTTATTGTCTTATATATCTTAAGCCATCCTAAATTGAATTGTGTAAAAATGTTGTGTGTAATGTAAAAGTGTTGTTTAAATGTGCCATTTATAGTATTCTGTCTTTGAATGTGTTATAAGCAAAGACTTTGTATGGGTTTGTGTGCTTTTTTAAGAAAAAAAAACTTTAAGTAAAAATATTGTACAATAATTAAAATGTAACTTACTGAATGAAATGTGAAGGTGTACTTATTCTGATCATCCAGTGTTATTCTGAAATTAGGATGTTTAGCATTTTACATTTTAAATAATGTCACTCTTGTTGTAAATTATTTGTAATTGTTTTTATTATCTTATATACACAGACATGTTTTAACCATTAATGTAGTAAAATATAATTAAAATCTTTAAATTATAGAAAATTATTCATAAAAGTGAACACGTACGCATGCCGTTAACGATGCATTAACATGTTGGATGGAAAGAGGCACTTGTTGGGTGCCCCAAAGTAGCATAAAATAAAAGTATGAAAAGTATGAAAAATTACCTTACTTTACCACATAGTGTAACTCCTCTTTAAGATTTTACTTACCTGGTATTACTTACCTGCTGAATTTATTATTTAAATTAACATTTGAAGTGATTAATGTAATTGGTAAAACAATAATTTAAGCAAGATAAGAATGGTAAATATTCCCAGATTATCATGTTTTCATATTTCCTATCACAAGTTTTTTTAATGTGGCCCACACTTAATGAATAAGGAGGAATCACACCAGTGACAGGAAACACTGGGCACGTGAGAGGATCCTCTGATGCTTGACAGAATACTTTTGGACCAGAGCGGCTTCAGCAGGAACCTCTGGGACCAGGCAGGTTGAGAGAGGAGCTCTGGGATGGGAGCAGCTCTGGCTGAGGCTACGACAGGAATCACTGGGGCGGCACTGGCCATATTTCTTTGGCGGCTGTGGCAAGAATCTCTGTACCCTCATGAGAGGAACATTTGTGGTGGAAATGACCCAGTGTGACCCTGTCAGGAACCTCTGGGAAGCTTTGGAACTGGAGCTGTCATGACACAGAGCTGTGGAACCGTAGCAGGTTTTGGGGTTGCAGCAGGACCATTCAAGCTGGGACAATAAACTCTGGGACCTGGGAAGCTCTGAAAAGGCATCCTTTCAAGTAACCTGTGTGGTGTCTGTAACTCTGACCTCTCTGACCTCCAGAAGGTTCTGGAGTAGCAGTGTCAGGAATCTTTAGGATGGCGTTCCCACTGATTTCTGGAGAGGCCCTGACAGGATCTTTGGGACCAAGCTGCCTGTGGCAGGAACCTTTGGAGCAGCATCTTGATGTCCCGCTGGAACACCCCCTAGGAACAGCACATGGCAGCAGTGTCAATCGTATGCTGTGTTTTGCATATGCAGTATGCTTATCATAACCCTTGTTTTGATGGAGACTGCACTAAACACCAGTCTCCAACAGGGGGTGACGATAGCATGGCTGAAACAGCTCCTACACACACAATGAGCTGGAAGGTACATTGTTTCTTAAAGCTGAAAGTGTGTTGTTTTTTCAATCGCAGTCTGATATGCAGCATCACCTATAAATAATTTATTTATATGTTGATTTCGCTTCAAAAGTGAAAACTGTGTATTCTCTCTATGGCATTATCAAAACATTGCTCACACGTTGACCTTCACTCCCCTTTATCACAGTATCTCATACATATCAATGAGATTTTCATATCAAACAAAAACATCCACATGTTCACATTGCAGGGTTGAAAATACCCACACGCCTTTGTGTTTGATGATCTCACAACACATTGTTTGAAGTGCACCTTTCTCTCATGCAGTGTGGTCTGCAGAGCTGCTGTCTCTTTAAAGATGAATGGACTACTTCATTACTCTTTGATAGCATTAGCTATTAGCCCAGGCTTGAATTAGTACAATGACATTAGCCTCCTAAATCCACATTGTCACCGTATGAGTGGGTGACTGTGAAACCCCCACCAGAGAAGCACAAACTGAGTCTTATGAAGTCCTTGAGGGTACTTATTAACACATCTCTGAATGCAAGACAAGTCAGTTAAGACAATAATTAAGCACGATGCTATTGCTATTAATAGCCAACAAGAACAATGAGGCACAGTGTGTTCACAATGAAGAATAAAAACATTTATTTTATGCATATTATGAATGCATATGCATTGCTTGGCTCCCATTCCCACAATGCAAATGATATATTCGAGTCATTCTATAATTTTATGGCACATATCATATCACTGATGACATTCAGTTTGTGTGCATATTTACTTTCTTCAGAAAATAGAACAATAGAAGAGTCCTCTCATTTATTTCGATATTTTATCTACAATAACCTATTGTCATGGAATATATTAATGATGTCAACTATGTTTGATACACTGCTATGGTTTGCAAAATTTTTAGGATTAAAAATTAAAAAAAAACTATCTTTAGATTCGAGGCTAACCTAATCAAGAAAATAAAATGTGGTTGACAAAGGCCTTCCACTGAAATTATGAATCAAAATGGTGAAAATGTCAACTATGTTACTTGTCAAATAAGTTACCTTGTCAAAGTAGCACAGTTGTCCTGATCCTACATGTGACTGTATATCCTAATGATAATGAATTGTTTGCCGTAGAGTTTTTATCAGAGGAGAGTCAACTATGATACTTGTGAACTGTTTTTTTTCTTCCTGTGAAGCACAAAATTAGTTATTCTAAAGAATGTTGGTAACCAGTTTCAGTTACCATTGACTTAAATTGTATTTTTCGTCCAAATAATGGAAGTCAATGGGAACCAAAACTGTCAACATTCTTCAAAATATCTTCTTTTACGTTACACAGAAGAAAAAAGAAAATCATGAAATGATGTAAATTTTGACCGAATTTTCATTTTTTTGGCTGGACCATGCCTTTAAAAAAGAGGCAGATTTATGATTTTTTTTTTTAAATCACAGGGATATTTGCAAAAATATGATTCTTAAAATTCTTTTAGAAGTGTCATACAGTTTGTCTGCAACATAGTTGGAAAATTCAGCCATGAAAATAACTTTTCCCTTGTAATATTAAAATGGTGTTTAATGATTAACTTGCAGGTATCTTGCACTGATGAAATATAGAAAACCAATATAGAAAACCTGAAACCAACAGTAAGTTTTTTTTAGAGAAAGCATATCATTTTTGTACTGTTTTTGTTTGAATATGAAATGTACCCCCAAATGAGCCATATTAGCAACAGTGACTGTTCCCATCGCATGCAATATGGGCGATCATGCTCCTCTTCACCATGCACATATCAAATGAGTCTTCAGAGGGTGTGGTGGGCATCTAACAACCTCCACATCTCTGAAGCCCATAGGAATGAAGGCATCTTTCTTCATCAGTCAGTTCTTCTAGTGTGTCTGCAGCCCCTTTTTTGTATCTCCGCCCCTTCTCTCTTTCTCTCGCGCTTTCTCTCCCAATTGATGGATTTGTGGTGTAGTTAAAACACATGCAAATGAGACAGCTGGCATCACACAAACCATGTGACCTGTCAAGGTGGCGGTGAGTTCAAAGACACGCTGCAGCAGGGAACCCTCTTTACACACATGCACACACCCTCCCTCACTCGCTCCCTGGATTAATCCCTCCACCTCCTTCATGCCACCTTTCTTTCATTTTTTTCTCTGTCTTAATCTGGAAGAAAAAAGGAGCGGCAATGATAAGCAAACTAAGTCCCGGATCTTCACCTGATTTATGTTCTTCCCCAGTGCAAATATTTGCTCATGCATGAAGCTAATCACATATGTGCTCTTGAACGTGCCTGTGTGTGTGTGTGTGTGTGCATGTGAGAGTTTGACAGGATCAACAGCAGGTATCCAGCAGTAGGTCTGCTACAGAAAGGCTACCAGCTCACACACTCACACAGACACATTCCAGCAGACTGCCCTGGCCTTGTGAAGACCATTTGCCAGGCTTCTCTCTCTCTCTCTGGCTCCAGATGATGGGTGTTTCTGTAAATCATACTTAGTGTGAATGCATGTGGATTTTTTTTTATTAATTGGCTGCTCATCTTCATAAGCATCTACATGCTTTCACACTATGTATGAGTATATTTCTTAATATAATTATAAGTATTATTAATTATTATGATTTACATTGTATAAATATATATTATGTATAGTTATCAGAATATGATATATTTAAATAATTTACATAATTAAAATGTATAATACTAATATATATATATATATCACAATATTTTACATTTATATAATTTATAATAATAGATCATTCTAATAGTAGAATTAGAATATAATTAGAAATAATTAATATGTAGAATTTTATATAAAACACCGTATGTACACCATATAAATAATAACAAATAATACATACATAATAAATAATAATTATTATTTATTATTTATTTATATAATTGTATTAGAATTTATAGATAGATAGATAGATAGATAGATAGATAGATGATATAGAATTACATGAAAATTACATAATATAAATAAAGCTTCACTTTTGTGGACAAGATGAAAACAATAATTTATATTCCAATTGTAGGCAATTACATTTTGAGGTATAAATCTTCAATTATTAAAATTTTCAACTGAAAAAAAAAAACATTCCATAAAAATCATAATAACTATTATATTCTTTTTCAGTTTATTTTCTGGATTTGAGGATAAGAGAAATTAAATTAGTCCACTGATTCAATGAGTTGACATGCTAGTTGGCAGTTCTGAGTGACACTTCCTTTCAACGAACTAATGAGAAAAAAAAAACAGATAAAATCATAAAATCAAATATGTATTCTTCCTGAACTAACAAAAACTGATAAAGCCATCACTTATGCACCATGAGGTTTGGGACGCAGGCTTCTGCTTCTAACTAATAGACACAATGATTAATTATTGTAATTTTTGCTTTGTAGATACATTTACTGCCTCATGAAAAAACTCTTTGTTTTATAGCCTCTGATCCTCAAAATCCCAGAAAAGAACAGCAATAATAGAGCACAAAAATTACATTGTGTTTCATGTTAATTGATTAATTAACGGAATACAGAGTCTTGACTTTGACTTTTTTTAAACCAAAAACACATGATGCTTGTACATGATGGGAGCCTCCTACACCAACATTAGTTTTATATATAGTTTGATATTTTTACATCTCTCATTCTAAGGAATAAGATACAACCTAATTAAAAAAGAATGTACAATATTTAGGTGCCTTAGCTGTGAAATCATGGCAAAAGAATTAAAAACATGAAGTAGCTCATTTCCCTGAGAGAATACCAACGTGGATGGCTGTCGATTTGGCAGGTTCTGGTTATTTTAATGAGTTTATGACTAATGGACTCAAAGGGGTGGAGTTGTGTTTTATTCTGTGGTTAGGACAGATCAGTGTTTTACAGTGGTTTGCTGTGCGTGGCAGTGTAAAGCAGATACTGTAGGTCTGTTGTTGTTTGTAAATCTAGATGGCGTGTGTATTTCAAGACTGCAAGATCGCTCTTAAGAAGCAGCCGTGTTAAAGGTCCGAGCAACAGGGTTTCGGCTGCCTGCACAAAAAAAAAAAAAACATTTTTTGAATATACTTAAAACTCACACACATACTTAACACAAAAAAAATTAAAATATACTTAAAACACAAAAAAAGTACAAAAAAAAAATCGATCTATCTATCTAAACATACACACATACAATAGAGTCAATTGCTCTCACCTCTGGGTCCAAAATCTCTCATGTAGCAGTTAGTGCAATATGGCTTCTCATCGTGCTGCACAGAGATGTAAAAACAGTGACATTAAAAAGCAACATATATAGCATATATGAAAGAGTATATATATATGTATACCTCTGCATGCTGGCCAGCTGTTAGCTGTCTTTTACACTTGTGACACTTCAAGCACAACGGGTGATAATCCCGTCCCAATGACCTCTTCTTCTCACCTGCATGAATCAAAGGTCAAAGGTTAAGCAATCAGCCTGGTGTGTTTACTGAAGTGTGACATCCGCCATGTTTGTAGTTTTTAACGTGTTTTATTCGTGTTTGTAGTTCTGGACCGAATCCTTCACCAAAGCGCATTGGATTGTGGGCAATATTAGCCATTAGAGTGTGCACAGATCCACACTTCAAAAATCGACCTGAAATAGTAGGCCATCCGGGGACTTTTGGCATACTCTTTTCAACATACTATGCTTTGGGACACACTTATTCTAATCTCACATGCTATTTAGGATGGATAGTATGAACATTGAGACGCAGGGATGGGATTTACAATTACTTGGGATAGATGTGTGCGGTGCTTTGTTTATGTGAGTTTTGTATGGAAGCCTATTTCCACCATGGAATAAAAAAATTAAAAAGGAAATTGCAACTTTTTTATCTAACAGTTCGGACTTTTCTTTTCACAATTGTGACATGTAAACACAGAATTGCAGGGAAAAGGGTAATAATTGTCAGATAAAAAGTCACAATTACCTTTTCTGTTTTGTTTTGGGGGTTTTTCATGGCAGACATGGGCTTCCATAGTTTTGTGAATTAGTTAGCAACATTAAAACATGTTTCCACTTACCCTAATAAATGTGTAAATTAGAATCAGTATTATTTTAGTACTGTTTATTATAGTATTTATTCATATTTTGAATAAGCTTTCATTTTTATATAATCTAGGTTTTCAAGTGGTGCAAGCCTTAGCAATTTTGTTATTTTTCTTTAAATATTTCTAATTAGCTTTTACTGTTATATTGTTACACATATATGAACACAATAATGTATATTCTGTCTCATCATATTTGAACTTCATTTCCTCTTTTTCACTCAGAGGTGCATGATTTTGGTTTAAAAATGTTTGTTTTTGAAATTTTAAACTGAATTATTTCTGCTCATCCTCTGAAATGAAATTGTAAGCATTTGTGGTGCTGTATTTGCCTCATAGGTTTTATATAATCTTTTTTTTTGCATATGAGGGATGAGTCCAAATAATTTTCTGTTGTAAAAAAACCCCGGAATAATTCTATTTCTAATTAGGAAAATGAGAATCTGAACTTAGATTCTACACTTTAAATTCCTCAATCTGTCGATTCCACATTCATTTTGGACTGAATTCCCATTCTCAGCTCTATGTAGATATTACCCTTTCATGTGGGCCCAGCACGAGCTCTCCTACTGAAACCCTGAACATGAAACCTCTAGAATTTGAGTCTGAACCTTCAGCTTTCCTCTTTCTGGCAGAACCAACACCTGCCTGCAGTCCAGCTCAATAACAGAAGGAGCTTTTTTCTTCGGTTTTAAAGCCGACTGGCAGCTACAGGGTTTTTCTGGCCAAATTCTCATCTTTCTTCAAGTGTTCATATGTTTCTGCATTGTTATCTGCCAATTTAAACAGTCAAGCCTCTCTCGCCCTGGCCTATTCCACTTCCTGCCACAGGCAGACACTTCCTGTGCTCGTGTGACTCATGTTGTGAGGCGCTGATGGCGGTTAGGAGGCTGCAGACTGATTAACGCTACACAAAGGCATTGAGATATAGGCCTACACACACCTTGGATACACAAAAACTAGTTTGTTTGACCCAGCATAAAAGCAGAAACTAAAGCTAATTTGAAGTTAGCATATGCTATGCTCTTTCTAGAACGCCCTGTGGTTAACATAAGACGTTATCACACAACTATACACACGAACACACAACTACAGTGTAATATACTCAAATACAGCAACAGCAAGTCAAAATAATGGACACTTTTAAGTCAAAACAGAACCCGATCTGAAGTTTTTACCACTAAACGCATAACATGCAGCAACTCAGCGCTCTACTCTGTTTCTCAGTGTCGAGAACTACATAAAACCTCAATATCATCTTAATCAGTATGTTTTAAGCATTTTAATAATGGATCCCTCCAACCCCAGATGCCACTCACCAAAATAAACAGGCTTCCCACATATAGGACAGAAGCTCACCATTGTAGCAGATCTCGAACACTTTGTGATGCGTGAGATGTTGAGATGCAGGAAATATGCGAGCGTCTCAACTGTGACAGCAAAGGATGTGGCAAGAGCAGTGCAGTGACAGGAAGCAAGAAATTATTTCGAAAGAAAAAAAGCTGAATTCGAACAGTCAGATGACAGAGAGGAGGAAAATGCTGGTCAGAAGTGTGTGTGGGTGCTGTGATATGATGAGACTGTCATAGCGGGGTTGAACTTAAGTCAGTCTGGCTGTTTTAAAGACACTTCACACTTCTGCTGTGGTCAGTCGTTGCGGTTTGAAATCAAAGATGATGTTGAGGGCCACGTGAGGTCATCAGACTTGTCGGAGTCTGTTATGAAATGAAAGCTTGTGGGTTGTTTGCTGGATGCGAGTCAAAGAAACAACAGAGAGGGAGATTGAGAGGGACAGAGGGAACGAGAGCGACACAGATGTCAGCCGCTCGGATTTCATAGGTTGTCATGGTCGCCGCTTCTCAACCCCTCGATCTGTCCGCTCGCCCTTTTTCATCCTCTTTCTCTCCATCCAAGAGATTAAAAAGCTCCAGTGTGGGAGAACGGGACTTTAGGAGAAACCCAAAACTGCTGGCACACACACACACACACAGATGACATCACCGAAGGGAGCTTGATTGGATGAGCACAGAAAGCCGTGAGAAGGAGAATCATTGAAGCCGAGACTGAGAGCATGTTTTTTTGTATGTGTGTGTTGAGATATAAAGGATGAATAAGAGTCTGGCTCGAGTTGCAATGCACTATTGCCCTCAGTTTAGCCTGATTTATACACACACACACACCACACATGTGTGAGCTGGAAGGGAAAACACATAGACTTCATTTAAATAGGAAGAGCTTTGTTATGGTCTGCGTGTCTGAACAATTCAATGTGGAATTCCTGCATGTGATTTTTTCTATATAATAAATGGCAAATGCTTAGCTGCGACTGAATATTTGTAGATTTGATCAATTCTAATTATTTTTGTCTATGAATGCGTCACTTCACTTTGTCACTATTTAAAACAACTACAGCATGTTGCACTGTTGGAGTATTACAAAAAAAAAAAGGCAATAAAAGGGCAGCCTTTAGAGGTGCACTCACTATGTTTTCCTCATAATCCTATATTTTTCCCAATATTTTTTTCTCATTTAAATATTTTTAAAAGCATGTGCATTTACATGGGAAGAAAACTCCAAGAAATAGTTTAATAAAAGCTGTTTTATATCAAACGGAGCAGGATGCCTTATAGAATCCGCCATGTTGATGGACACTTTTGTTATATATTCATTATTGCTGAATTATATTTCTAAAATTTCGTCAGCAACTGAAAATGTTTGCAATTGCACGATGCTGCATCCATCTCTTTTAGATGTCATTATAATAAATTCAACACAACTTTTATATTGGCCAGTGGTGCAAGATAACAACAACAACAACAACAAAAAAAAACTTTTGAAGGTAATCAATAGCCTACACTTTTAAACTTTATTTCTGTTGTGGTGCACAGATGGAAATATTTCTGTAAATAATATGTATAACAACATGTGTATTTCCCAAAAGTTTCCAAATATTCCTTTTTTTTATGGTAGTTCAAAGGTTTGGGGGTCAGTAAGATTTATTTATTTTTTTTATAAATACTTCTTTTTCAGCAATGATGCATTAAACTGATCAGGTGACAGTAAAGATTTTTGCATTGTTACAAAAAAATTCTGTTTCAAATAAATGCTGTTCTTTTGAAATGTCAAGATTCAAGATCAAAGAATCCTGAAAAAAAATGTATTGCGGTTTCCACAAAGATATTAAGCAGCACAACTGTTTTCAACATTTATAATGTTTCTTGAGCAGCAAATCAGCATATTAATGATTTCTGAAGTACCGTGTACTTGTGTACTGAATCAACTTCATTCAGTGAGGGATAAAAAACATTTCCCATCAAGCCTAACTGGGAACTTCACCAAACAGCAGAGTCAGAGCCCTGTCCACATGAGTGCTTGTTCACACACACACACACACACACACACACACACACACACACACACACACACACACACACATTAGCGTCTACTGCCAAACTACACAGAGAAGAGCAAAACAGGGTTAGAGGAAGGGAGGGCTTCTCTTTCTGTTCTTTTTCATGCTGGTTTGGTTTGGCTCTGAAAAACTAGCCTAAATCCTCTTCTTTCTGGCTGAGAAATGGAGGAGAGGGGATAGAATAAGAGTAGGGGAAAGTGGGGTAAGCTGTGTCACCCTTTTAATCAAGCAAACTGTACACAATTTTTGCCATATGAATACATATTCAGAAAGTACTCACCACATACAGCTGTACTGGGCCTTTTTATAGTGCACTTCAAAGTAAATTTTCTACATGACACATAAGACTAATCTTATGTCAAAGCAAATTTATTCAGGACTAAAAATATACATTATACATGTTGGTGAATTGCCAATGAAAAGAGAGCATGTAAATTATTTGGCTAAAGATTGGCCATGAATTATTAAATGAAGCATCCCAAAATGGTAGCTGTGGGATAAAATGAGATTCAAATGCTTCTGTCAGTGAAATAGTATTACAAAATGTTGAAAACGGTTTCACTATACATTCAAATATCCTGAATATTAACTCCTTCTTGTATTAGACCTTTATGAAAATGTGAATAATGTAATATGTAGCAAAATAAGACTTAGGAGTGTGCATTAGTACAGGGGCTCCCAAACTTCTTCATTCTGGGAACCATCTAGAGAGCTATAATAAATAAATTACAACATTAAAAAACATTTGTTCTCTTTTAGTTAATATGTTTTATTTTCCTTTTCATATTATTACATTAGATAGGTCTACTTATTCATTTAATAAGTATAATAAGCATAAGTTTGATTTATGCTTTTTTAATAATAATTATAATTAATAATAATTAATAATGTAATAATTTATGCATTTAGCAGACACTTTTATCCAAAGCGACTTACAGTGCATTCAGGCTATACATTTTTTACCAGTATGTAGTAATAAGCATAAGTTTTATCTATCATAACTATAAAAACAGATAAATAGAGAATATATTTTGCTTTCTTGCAGAGCAAGTAAGAGCAGTATAATAGTTATATCAACTGAACTTCTATTATTGATTATAACTGATTCGGTGAGTTCATTCAGCAAAGAATTTGTCAGACTGATTCAAACTGCTCACTCCTGAGTGTTTATTAAGCATTTCTGAATGATTCATTAAAATAATCAAATCATAAGAGCTACATTATCGATCAAAAGTTTGGAATATTAAGATTTTTTAATGTTGTTGAAAGAAGTCTCTTATATGCTCACCAAGACTGCATTTATTTGATCAAAAACACAGTAATATTGTGAAATATTATTACAATTTTAAACAACTGCATTCTATTCGAATACATTTAAAAATTTAATTTATTCCTGTGATGCCAAAGCTGATTTTTCAGCATATTAAAATGACTTCTGAAGGACCATGTGCACTTAAGACTGGATTTTAAATAATGTTTAATAATGTTTCACAATATTCCTGTTTTTACTGTATTTTTATTCAAATAAATGCAGCCTTGGTGAACATAAGACACATTTGCTAGCGAATTTGTTAGCGACTACAGAGAGATCACGATTGGTATTTGGTTTTGCTGTTATGAGGCTCTGTGTTTAAAACCCAGTGCATACAATACTGACAAGCATTAATAACATGCCATAAAGCATGTTTATGTGAACAGTATGTGGCATGTTAAGTTACAGAGCTGCAGGCTTGAGACAAGCTGGCATGTGGGTGATTTATGTACGACTGTGCGTGTTATAATGTTTGTAAGTCTCAGTAGGTTTTGGCATGACATGCATTGAGCCAAGAGACTTGAAAGCAGACAGCGAATCTACGCCCGACGTACCAGAAACTTGGCAAACACATTCAATCTCTGATGTTAAGGGAAGACGCAGCACGGGACGCCTAGACCAGGATCCCACTATTTCTACTCCAAAAGACATCACAGCGATCCCCAATCAGTAAACTCATCTGTCTCAGCCAACTGGTGATGTCCGACTATTCACAGACAGCTTAAGACATCCCAGGTGCTATACCATTTTTGAAGAACAATGACAAAACATATTTTTAGGTTTAGTAGACGTGTTTTTATGTTTACAGGCCCGCAGAGGTGATTAAACCCAGGTCTTCCACTAATTAATGCTGACTACCAACACCCAAGTCAACGCATCTTAATCAAAACCAGCTTTCGCCTTACAGTGTGAAAATCAAGCGTAGCGTTAGTCAAGCTCGCATCAGCTGACTCTCAGCTGATCCCCATCTACCTATGGGAATACGACACCTAAGTATTCATATATAAGGTCCCGCAGTAGTATCAGCAGTTTTCGCATTGCTCAAT